GGGGGGGTGGCGGCTCCCTCGGGACCCGACGGGGGCAGCGCGATGCGGCGGGTGACCCTGTTCCTCAACGGCAGCCCCAAGAACGGCAAGGTAAGGCCGGCTCGGCGGCGACCCCGGGCCCCGGGTGCTCTTCGCGCCTCCCGTCTGGGCATGGCGCCGGGTTCCCCGCGTGCTGAGCAGCGGTCAGCCCGGGAGGGCGTCGTTGCTGACCAGGTGCGAGGCCCGCTGCGAGAGCGAGCTGCCCGGAGGGAGAGGGCAGCTCCCGCGCCGGTGCGGGAGGGGCGCGGGTCCGCGGCGGGCTTGGAACGGGACCTGGCTTGGTGTTCCCCTCCCTGTCCGCAAGGTACCCCAGTCGGGCCCCCAGCCCGCCGGCTCGCAGGACTTCTGCACGCGTTGCAGCGTTTCGACCCTTGCCGGCTCCGTTGGGACGGTGGCTCCGACCGACCACCGACCGGCCCCGAGTCGGCGGCGTCCCCGGCAGTGTTGGGCCTTAGTTGAGGGTGTGGTGCCGCATACTTTCCCCGGGCTGGAGGAATCCTGTTCCTCCTCAGTCTCTTGCCCCACCCGTGAAAGTTGCTGAGCTGCTTTGGAAAATTTCGACTGCTCCAGACAGACCCAGGCTGTGCGGCTAAATGGCACGCAGGAGTAACAGCCTCAGCAGTCGGAGGCACAAGTTAAGTTGGCCTCTGTCTGTTTCCTGCCACCTTACTTTCTGATCCCTGCACATTCTGGAAACTTACATTTTTAAATCGCAAAGCGCTCCAAGGGCGTAGAAAGTGCCTTTCCAAGTACTCTGCAGTTTTGAGTAAACATGCTCTGACAAATCTGAGCCACAGCGGGCTTTGTTGACTATAATTTTGTGTTCTGGTCTTAGACATTTAATACCCATGCAGAACCGGCGCTGGCACAAATTCACTGTGCTCCACAGAGTTCACATTTTCCCGATGATTAGCTTTTTCTGAACCTGTTTGGTAGTTAGCTAGTATGCATAACCTGAAATGTGTGTTGTTACAAGAAAGACTTAATACGTCCAAAGTTTAAAAATGGAGTATGCCCTCAACCGCCAACTTCTGACTGACCTTATCTAACATCTCAGCTGTGTTGCTGTTGGAAAGACAAAATGTTTAGACCTAGTCGTAAGTATTTAGCTATGCTCTAAATCGCTAAATCCACTCCATTTTATTTAGATGTCTCTAAATCCATTATATTTTGTTATTGTCAAAGATGGACTGAGTTGGTCTTCTCTTGTATTTTTAAATTTATGTCTTTTTAAAAAGCTACCCTAGGGGCCAGGGATTTAGCTCATTGGTTTCGCCGCCTGCTGCACAGGCGCAGGGACCTGAGTTCGATCCCCGGTACCAAAAAAAAAAAAAGCTATCCTAGACCTCTTCTCATTTGCAAGAGATCCCATTGTTTCCTTATATTCTGGCCTTTATTATGCTCTTTGTTTGTACTTTGCCTTACTCAAATGAGAGATGCTATATGGTATTTAAGCTTGTCTGATTTATTTCACTCAACATATTTTCCAGGTGCATTTATGTTCCTACAAATGTCTCCGGTTTGTCCTTCTTTATAGTCAAGTAGTATTCCATTACATAGATAGCACATTTTCTTTAAACATGTCTCTTGGTGGGTATAGAGGGAGGGTGAGGGGAGAGGGGAGAAGGGGAAGTAAATAGAATAAATACATACCATGTACAGGAGCTAATAGCCTCAATGAATATAAACATTATACCAGTATGTCATAAACATGAGTTAGGATTAATAATATCCACAAGAATAAAATGGGGAACGGGATTCAGAGGAGGAGGGAGGCCATGGGTGGGAAGGGGAAAGGGATTAAAAAAAGAAACAAGCAGGCCAGGGATTTAGCTCAGTGGTTCCGCTGCCTTCCTCGCAAGCGCAAGGACCCAAGTTCGATCCAGTACCAAAAAACAAACAAACAAAAAAGGAAACAAGCTGTGTTATGTGCATGCACCCACTCCCCGTGATGATTGTAGAATTCATGTACTGCAAACAGGTACTAATAAAAATTTTGAAAATAAAAAGCTACTCTAGTTTGCAGTAGGATAGGTTTATAGATTTAAGTTTGATTTCCTTTAAAAATATTTTCGTAGTGGACTTGGGGATTTAGCTCAGTGGTTTCGCCGCCTGCTGCGCAAGCGCAAGGACCCAAGTTTGATCCCCGGTACCAAAAAAAAAAAAAAATTTTCCTAGAGAATCTCAGAAGATCAGGAAAAATGCATCTCAAATAGTTAATGTTTGTGTTACAAAGATCATAAAATCCAAACAGGAAATACTAATTGTCAGTGTTTCTTCTCACTTCAGCTGATCAAAAACCAGTGACTCTTAGTTGGCAAAAGAGCAAGACAATCCATAACAGCCTTTGTGTGTATGTACATGTGTGTGTGCGTGTGTATCCACACAGTGACTGTTTAATCAGGATTGATGTGATCTTGACACAGATGCTATGAACATGCAAGATATAAAGTACAACTCTGAAATAGTTTGATTTCCCATCTACCACTTGGAAGATCTGTGTCACATTATCTCTTTATTTACCTAGTTTCTATTTTATTAACTGGATTGGAGTTTAGGAAGGAACATACCTTGTTTACATTTTTTTTACTTAAAAATGTAAAATCATATGAGCCCTTCGTTTTTCAAATCCAGGAACACCTAGTTGTGAAATACGTCGAATCTTCTGTGAGAAGGGTTGATAGCCAGCATCTTCTCATTTTCACTTAGGTTTGATGTGATACATAATTTACAAGATGCTAGGATTTTGATCATCTAGTCATAACTAACCCTGACTGAAATGCCAAGTGACTTTATAATCCTTCAAAGACCCAGCCTATTGAAGGTGTTATTAATTATACAAGCACAAATAAACAGTGAGAAAATGGCAGAGCTACTGCTTTTAGCCCAAACTGTGAGATTTTATTTTTTTATTTTTTTGGTACCGGAGATTGAACTTGGATCCTTGAGCTTGCGCAGCAGGCCGCGAAACCACTGAGCTAAATCCCTGGCCCCCAAACTATGAGATTTTAAAATAAAAAAATCTTGCTGGGGATTTAGCTCAATGGCACTGTGCCTGCCTCACAAGCTCAAGGTCCAGAGTTCAATCCTGGTGCCAAAAAATAAAAAAATAGAAAATAAATAAAAATTAAAAAATAAATCTCTTTGGATCTTACAAGTCAAAAAGTGCCAAGTTTTAAAGAAGACTGTTTGAAGTTCTAATTAATAACTGCTATTAACAATTAACCTTCCTCTTAGTGTTCTTTGAAATATTAGCCAGTGATAGGATGAGGTCATCTGAATTCTCAAGATACTTAAAATTATTTTCTAGCACATGAAGATAAATGACCTCAGAGTTCTTTTCTTTTCTTCCTTTAAAAATTTTTAATGTTAAAATCAGTTTTCTATTTAGCAGCATTTCAATAAACTTGTTGCTAAATATTTCAGGGATTTTCACTGGCCAGTTTATAGTCTAAGTAGATACAAATCCTTATGTCATTTGGGGAAACAGGTTCTTTCTGACAGTAGTGCATAATTAGTAAATATACAAAGGCCTGAGCACACACTCAAAAGTGTTTTACCAGTGGGTTCATAGTCACAATATTTCGAGGCCACTGTTCTAAAAAATTAGGATGTTTGTTATAGGGTTTTTGTTTTAAAGTACCACAAGAGGGCCGGGGATTTAGCTCAGTGGTTTCGCCGCCTGCTGTGCAAGCACAAGGACCCAAGTTCGATCCCCGGTACCAAAAAATAAAAAAATAAAATAAAATAAAGTGCCACAAGAGTTAGTTATGCTTGCGCTTTTTCATCCCTCCTCCATATGCCTTATAATTCCTATTCTCTTTTAATACCCTGTATGAGTTGGCATTAAGGACGCAGAAATGGAGATTCTGATACCTAAATGCAGTACATGGATTCTGAGCAAACTGATGTCAGTGCAGACAAAGTTCCTGTCCATCTTGCACACAAAATGCCGTTTAGTTTGTTACTTCAGAATACTCAGTGACAAGCTGTGAAAATCCTAGACCTTCTGTATGCTGCATTCGTTCACCTAACCCCTAGCACCTTCTGTGTGAGTCACCGTGCCAAACGCTGCAGACAGTGGAGTAGGAAACATCTTCATTCCGCACTGGTGTTTAAAGAATATTAACATACGTAAAGGTTAGAAGGAAAACAGTACAACAGGTATCCCTAAATCTTCCGCACAACCCAAGAACTAGAATATTACCAATATCTTAATGTGTTTGTGCACTTATTCCCTACATTTCTCCTGAGGAAGCAATTTTCATGAATTTTATATTTCTCTGGGCTGGGGATTTAGCTCAGTGGTTCCACCGCCTGCCTCACAAGCGCAAGGTCCTCAGTTCGATCCCCGGTACCAAAAAGAAGAAAAGAAAAGAATAAAAACTTTCAGATTTCTCTTTGCTTATTTTTTTCATTTTTAATCACTAGTTTTACCACATATATATGTACTCTTAAACTACATTTTTTGTTTTTTAAATATACTGCATCTAAAATATATGTAGTCTTTTGAGACTTGTTTTTTTCTTTCCATGTACTATTTCCAACATGCCATCTATAATGCTCCACATAGTGATAGTTTATTCATTTTCACTGCCCTGTGTAAGTCCATTATTATATAAGAGCACTACCACAATTTATCTGTTCTCCTGTCAATGAACATTTGGTTGTTTGTCTTCCTTATATCTCACTGTTAAATTAACAGTGCTACCCTGAATATTACTGTACATGTACCCCGGTGTGCGTGGGCAAGCGTTTTCTAGGGCAGTATCCATGCGTCAGAATCACTAGGAAGATGAGAAGACAGACACACTGTTGGCATCCATCGCCACCAGGTCTGGCTGGGTTAGCAGTAGCATTTCTATCCATTCTAGAAGATTCTAACATTGCAGGTATCCAGACCACACCTTTGAGAACCATTGCCTTGTGGGAGGTGTGTGTATAGTTGTAATTATATACAGTATATGTAGTACATACACAGAATTCAAAAATGTATACCCACTTCAGCAGTCTACTGTACTAGTAAGTGTCCGAAAGCTCATGGCCACCGC